ATTAAAATTGTAATTATAGTAAATGAGTGGGATTAAAAATTTAAGAATAGACAACTTCAAATAAGAAGGTTTTTAACCTTGTTTTAAATAAACTCAAGGTAGGCGCAGACTTACAATGAGCAGGAAGTTTATTCCATAGTGTTGGAGCATAAAAACTAAAGGCTGCTTCTCCGTGTTTACTTCTGACTCTTGGTATAGTCAATAGGTTTGAGTCTGATGATCTTAATGTTCTGAGTGGTACATAGGGTTGCAGAAGAGCGGAAATGTAGTTTGGATTTCTATTATGAAGTGCTTTATAAACTATTAAGGAAATTTTAAAGTCAATTCTTTGAGCAACAGGCAGCCAGTGCAGAGATCTGAGAACTGGACTGATGTGCTGATCTCTTTTTGTGTTTGTAAGGACTCTTGCGGCAGCATTCTGGAGGAGCTGGAGCTGTTTTAATGTTTTTTTTAGGTAATTCAGTTAAAATGGCATTGCAATAATCAAGTCTGCTAAAAACAAAAGCATGAACTAGTCTCTCAGAATCCTTTACGGACATGAGTCAGTGTTTTGATACTGTTCTCTATCTAAATTCAGCACCAGCATATTGGCACTCTGTTGGGCTCAGGACCTGAAATAACTACTAATGTTCATTTTATGCTTGGATTGAAGTTATTTTGAGTTGCAAGTAATGGATGATTGTAAACAATAAAATTTGCTCATTCAACTTGAGTAACTCCGCTTAATTGCTTCAACTCAGTTAAAGTGTCAAATTCAAAAATACATAATAAAAGCTATTGCCAGTTTTAAGTGTCTTTAGCAGTTATATTAAATTAAAAATTATTAGTTAACAGAAACCTTTAAAAAGTTGCCCCAACTTACGTTTTTACATTACTCAAGTTCCAAGTTAATCAAGTTCACATAATATAAAATGTAACATTTTTATAATGTAAATGTTAAATTTTTACTCAATTTTTTTTTGTTTTACTTTAAAATAGTCATTATTTCATCATAAATTATGTTGGAGACACAAAGTTCTGAGAATATTATATTCCTCAAATTTTTTTTTCTTTTCAAATTTCCACCTAAACACAAAAAGAACAATTCATTCACAGCTTTCAAAAATGCATGCTTTCAAATATCTTCAAATAAAAAACAAAAACCCAATATATTTGTATTAACTCATAACTACTGAAAAGAAAAAAAAAGTCTTACATTTTTCACCAAACTTGTTATAAACATTATTATCTCTTCAAATATTGTTTAAGCAAGGTTTACATTTAATGAAAAACAGGCTGGTCTCCTCTATACCAGTGTTGATGTTTAGCTTTCCTCAGGAACAAGACAGATTACAATCTGCTATGATTATGAGTACAACATAAGCAACTGAATGTGTTATATATTTGTAGAGAACCCTGAACTGATTGATAGCAGTTTGTAATAAGTCAGTGAACTGTGACAGCACCAGGACAAATCAGCAGCAGCAGAACCTCAGCCTGTAGGGGAATGGAAGAACCCTCATCTAATGGGCAGAGAGTGAGCTGAAATGTGAACAGACAAACCTTAAATGTCATCCAAATCTGCTCAAACGGGTGATGGCTGGAGGCAAAACCTTCTATGGGATACTATCGACTCCATCAATAAATCTCTTTGATCTTCCGATGGGTCTTCTGGACTTATTGACATTTTTGTGGCTGGAACCCACAAAGAGCAACTCAGACGTCATTCCTTCTGTAGATTTTCAAGCGATCGTCAGTTTGCCTGGAGCCGTGATGTTTGTGGATTATATGTGGTTAACTGCCGACTGTCTCAAAGCGGTGGCGCTGCAGCGTGAAATGACACATCCTCTTTCAAAGAACCTTGGACTTCGCTGTTCGGATTTTGGGTTGCAGGAGAATCAAAATTGTTTTAGAAAAATTGTGCATTTGTAGTCATGTGCTTGCTTTATAGGTGCATCATTGTTCAAATGAGAGACATTATTGTTATATGAGTGCATAGGTCCAAAGAGCCCAAAAGCAGGGACTTTAGTCAACCTAATCCTAAGCAATTATTAAATTATAATCACATTTCTCCTGCCTGCTTAGCCTGTTGCTATTGCAACCTTACCTAAATCTACAAGTCAAAACAAGGAAGACGTCCAGAGTCCAGATGATAAAATAGAGATGTTCAAACCCCTGTGAAATTATTAGGTTAATGTAGTGCATCAATCTGCCCTAATCTGTCACTTTCAATACAAAGTATGAGGGACTGCATGGCATTGCAGTTGTTAACAATACTGCCTTGCATGAAGCTTGCAGGTTCTCCCTGTGCATGTAAACCAACTTACCAAGGACAACCAGGAATTGATATATTACTCAGAAGTCTATTTCCTGTGGACAGTTTGTGATGCAGAAATGGTAGAAATGTCCTCTAACAAGTGATCCACTCCCATGTTTGCGATCACATGAAGGAGGCGTTTTACGGAATATCTCGGCAGAGTTCGGGTCGTTGAGCTCTAGTGTTTTTGAAAATGATAAATTCCACCGACAGGCTGGAAAAATCCAGTTAAAGATTGCTGAGTGGGGTAAATTCCTGCCTGTTGTTTTGCATTGATAGAGGAATCAAAGTTCCTGAGTAATGCCTACTTTACCTTTTTAATTGCAGCAAACAGAAATAGACACGTAGGATTTAAAGCAACCTTACAGAAAACCCCCCACTTCTGTGCTATGACTGAGTATTTTGCAATCTGCCGTTGTGTTTGATTCACTTTTCTAAACTTGTTTGTGCACTCAAGTTATCTTCTGTCCCCTTGGGACTCTTCCACCGGCTAACTTGTGTCTCAAAGTTCATCTGACAAACCAACAGACGCACAGCAGTATCAACTTTATCATTGCTAGGTAAACCGTCCAAACAAAGTTCCCTAAAATAGACATTGACAGCTACAGCAGTCATCTGACTAAAATGTGACTTGGACGCATTTGCATGGATTTTAAAATGAAGATAGGTTGAGGTTTTGGCCCAGGATGTGGGGCGGGAGCCCCGAAGGGTCCGCTGAGTATAAAACAAGCTCAACAGCCCAACGGCAGTTTCCTTCGACTTCACTGTTGTTCATGTTTGGAGCTTAAGACAAAGCACTCTCATTTTTTTTGCCACACTTCTTATTTTCACACACACACTGCTGATTATTGGTGCCAAAACAATGGCCACTGATAAATCCAAAGTAGCCATTGGATTTATAGCTGCAGGCGCTCTGACTCTGATGTTTGGAATCATTTCAGCAATTATTGGGCCAACAGTTATGAAGAATCAAGTGGTGAAGGTAAGCTGTGTTCTATACTCACTAAACTGTTTATTGCTGTTTTTTGTATATTGAATTCTCAGTAAAATCTCAGCTAAATTTTATGCATTATGTCTTCACAAAATTTTGATTTCACAAATTTACCTAAAAACTGAACTTTTAAAAATTTTGACTTATAATTTATAACAGAAATCTGCTATCAGTTTTTCAACCATTGACTTAACAAAATGTTCGGTTAACCATTTCAATGAAAGCAAAAACAGTAGATATAAAGCTATCAAGCAATTCAGAAGAATGCAAGTAAAAAAATCCCTTTGCTACCAACTAATAACGTTGTCCTTTTAGTGGGACTGAGATGAAGAAAAGTTTAAGTTTAGCTTTGTTTTTTTGACGATCTTATTGATTGTTTGGACTCTGCAGAAAAAAAAGGAAAGAATTACGGATTAATATCCGACAAGAGGTAAACGAAAAGAAAAACTACATTTTAAATTATTGGAAGCAAGACACCGAGAAGAAGAATAAATTCTCATAAGGTTTTTAAAAATAAGACTGTGCTGGATACCTAAAACACTTCTGTTTGCCAGAATAAATGAGCTGCTTTCTGATCCAGATCCATCTTTATGTCAAAGAATCTAAATGCCTTGAGCTTCACAGATACCGACTTTGACAGAAAGTGTTCATTTTTTATTTTACTAACAGACAAACAACCGAGTGCTTTTAGCTCCATTGCAACTCAGTAGATCTCTGCTGTCACATAAACAAAAAAACTGCAATGGAAAGAAAATAAATCAAAACACACAACATAACTTCAGCACAAAAATACAACATTTTCTTAGTCCCATTTGATACCAGTGTTGCAAAAAATTATTTTCGGTGGTGATGTGAATCTTTCCTTGAATTAATGTAATTATGAACCATTATCGATTGCACATAATGTATCCATGGCTTTCTATGGGTGTGACTTAGGATCAACATAATTATGTTACTGCTTTAGTATCAACAGTTTAATCTTAAGATTTAGCTTATAGACTATTCGAATTCACATTCCCATATCTTTTTTCATGAAGTCACTTTTGTGGTACGGTGTATGGTTATTAAAACGGTTTATCGTCAAACATAAACCAGCGTTATGCTAGAAGTTTGATATCGGTCTCTAAACATCGTGTGATCACAGTTAAGCCTGTTGCAATAATAAGCAATGAATCACATGATAAATTAATATGAGCTTGATGATTTCCATTCTGATAAGTCATATTTTTTGAAGGGTACTTCAGAGGCAATCGTTGTATAAGTTTTGCTTGTGTGTGCTGTGGACTTTGAGAGAGCGAACTGGAATTATTATCAACATGTATTTCTTGAAAATGGTCTCGAAAAAACAATATTATTGTTTATTGCATTAATTACTGGCAAAAATGTATCTTTGGCTAAAATGTTGTCATTGTAACAGATCTAGCACAAGTCTTATTTAATCTGATTTATCTTGGGTTAATTCAAACTTGTGTGTGCATGCACCCCAAAAAATAGTTCAAATGTATTCTATAAAGAGCAACGTGAGTTTTACTGACATTTTAAATAAAATTTAAATAATTTCAATAATTGAATAAACTGAAAATGTTGTGCCTCGCACTAAACAAACATCCACAGCTCCACTGGGAAGCGCAGGAACTACTCTTCCCAGAATCCTCGGCTGCTGATGTAGAGGCGTCACCATTAGACCATAAATAAGTGGGACGTGGTCTCAGATCCGGGTCGTTCATCAGAAAGGTGAATGAGCGAGCCGGTGAAACGTCAGGCTTGCGCCAGAGACGGAGCTGCTCGTCTCATGTTGAAACACCGCGGGGTCGTTTACAGGCTGCGAACTTCGTGTCGTGGCCCAGCTGGACAGCTCGCAGACAAAGAAAGCTACTTATCCGCCGTGGACACCGCCAGTGCCCTGGCAACCTGTCAGTGTCAGGATGGCTGTCAATAAATCCAAAGTCTCAGTCGGATTCATAGTCGTAGGAGTCCTGGCTGCGTTTTTCGGGACCGTTCTGGTTTTTGTGGGGCCAGTAGTCATCAATGACCAGGTAGTAAAGGTAAGGAGCGTTTAGCATGTTTACAGCCGGTGTTTTTGGTTTGCAGATGGACTGGAAGCCAAAGTTTGAGTCTCAAAGGACTTCAGAAGAGCGCGCGTGCAACCTCTGCATGATAACAGGCGCACGCGGGACTTTAATCAGCCTAGATAAAAAGAAATGAAGTAAAGCAGAAACACGAAGCTGTGTTCAGAGTGACAACTACGGAGGTTTTTTGTTTTAGCGCTAATAACTTTTTAATGTGAGCTTTAACTCAATTATTAAATTGTTAATAACGCTGACTGTGTATGAAAAGATTATAAAACCAAGCAAAACAAAATATATATATACATTTTGTAAGGGGAGAAAAAGTGATCTGTTTTAGATCATCATCTGTCAAGATGGCCTCACATAACTGAGCTGTGTGAGGCCACATGCAGCAGCTTTAGTTTGAGTTTATTCACAAAGTTCACTTTCAAGACTGCTTCAGCAGATTTCAGTTAAAGATATCTTGAGTATCTTTAACTTTAATATAAATGCTTTACATTGTGGTCTGGCCATGTTTCCAGTTCAAACATGGTTCAAAGACAGTGAAGCCATATTTGAAATTTGTCTACAAGCAAAAACATTTTTTTGCAAATGCTATTGTAACAAGAAGGTACCAACAAACAGCGTGAGCAGCACTGCAAGTGGGGAAAAAAAAAAAGATTTGTCTAAAGATGACTGGACAATGTTGGACACTTTCCACCATCATTTATTAATTTAGAAATAAATGGACTTGGAAATATAAATTTTTCTGACTTATTTCTATTAATAAAACATCATTGGAACAAAAATGGACAATAAAACAATTATGGTTGTATGGTTATACATAATTTTATAACCATATATTTATATAACCATATAGATGCAGTATATGGTTATACTCATGTGTAACCATATGTGTAACCATAGGGAATAGTCTTATGTGAGTGACTATGCAGGCTTGTCAGACACAGCATGCCTCATTTATTGGACAAAATGCAGAGAGTTTTGGACACCGGTCTACAATACAAGGAAATACAAGGAAACTTTGCCACGGTTTATGGGAGAATAATTATTTTAAAATAAATAAACACTTGAAGTCAGATGAGGATTAGAAATACCATAATTTACCTTAGATGCTAAGTACATACATATTTGACAAAATATTTGAAGGAAAGAGAGCAGATAACATTACCGAAGCTGTAAATGTGACATTTGGCTTGTTTTATAGTTTTGATAATCTTCAGTGACACAAATTCAACTGTCAGATATGTAGAGATAATAGGAAAAGTAGTTAGGTAGAAAAATGGCAATCTTGCCTTGGCAGAAAATAGAGGAAATTATTTTGAAACCATCAGAAAATGAGGAAATCACAAGATTATCCCTATGTATTTGTCAAATGTATTTTTTTTCCACACTAATGTTTGTGCATTTAATGATTAGATTTCCCTCCCTGGCAGTTACCAGTCAGAGCCAATCAGGGACCAATGGCCTCTTCATCTTAGGTCAACTGTTTGAATGCTGTAGACATTTTAAGAAACACTATAAATACATAATTAACTGTATTTTGGTTTTATTTACTGTAATCAAACAATCAAAATTTGCATTAAAAACAGTTTGTGTTTTTATTTTGTGTGTGATTAATCAAAAAAGTAACATTTTAAATTATTAGCAGTGATTGTGTTAAAATATATTTTCTGTCCATTATGACACCTTCTCCCTCACTCACTCTCTTTTTTTTTTTTTTTTGTCATGTCAGAACACCATCATTGATCCAAAGAATGACCTCTCCTACACCATGTGGAAGGACCTCCCTGTGCCCTTCTTCATGTCCATCTACTTTTTTCATGTCCTCAACCCTGAGGAGATCCTGAACGGAGAAAAGCCCATGGTGGAGCAGAGAGGACCGTATGTGTACAGGTACAGAATTGCAGCTTTGCCACTGTAACTATTACTCCTACATGTTGCCTGCATGGAATTCAACTTGCTGTGAAAGGCAGGACCAAACGTGAGAACTGCTGCTCCTTGGGAGTACACAGCAAAAACACGAAATCTTGCCAAGTCTTGGTCTAGTCCACTTGAAATAACACAAAACTAATTTACAAGTAACTTTTCAGCAAGATATCGGAGCTTGGTAATAATTCCTTAATATCGATAAAAAATACTAGTTCCACCTGCATATTATTTTACTCATAATAACGCATTTTTCCTGTTATAAATTAAAGTAATCTGCCAGTGGAATCAGTTTTCAACACAATGAAGGAATTACTGACTTAAAAGAATCTCCTACATCTTGCTTGAAAGGTGCTTTTATATCAATTTTAGGTATATTGACATTTGCATCAGAAACTAGACCAAAAATACTTGGTAAGATTTTGTGTTTTTGCAGTGTGAACATTTTAATTTAAGAAATCCACTGAGGTTAGATTTCTTTGGGCTTTGTGGAGAGAATTTTTGCATTTGATTATGTTTCCAGACATTTTGAGTTTAAAAAAAAAAAAAAAAAAAACTGTTGATGTTTAGCGCTTTTTTTGAAACGAAAGCAGCTTGTGTGACCCAGATTTTTGCTGACTGAAGTGAGTGACTTCCTGTCATGTACGGATGGGATAATATTTGACAGAGATGCATGTTTTATTATTATTTATTTCCAAGTGATTTTATGTCAAGCTGATCACAAAAAAGCTGTGAAGTCATTTCAAAAGGGTGCAGTTACTTTCACACATCTCCAGTTTTATTAAATAAAATGAAGAATTCAGAAATTGAGATTGTTTTTTTTCACACATTTGCCAGTTAGATCACTTCCTGTGTTGTTCTTATGTTCCAGAAAGCAGTGTCGGAAGGAAAACATCACTTTTCACCCCAACAACACCGTGTCCTACAGAGAATACCGCAGATACTTCTTTGACCGCTCCATGTCTGTTGGGAATGAGTCTGACGTCGTCACCATTCCCAACATGTTGGTGCTGGTATGAGAGCGTGCTGCAAAGTCTTTTCAGATTTCCCTTATTATTTCCCCCACATTCAAAGCTTTGTGTTTTGACTCCAACCCTGGTTCGCAGGGCGCAGCGGTGATGCTGGAGGACCTGCCCTATGCCGTGCGGCTGTTGATCAGCGCCACCTTCAAGACGTTCAAGGAAGGTCCTTTCCTGACCAAGACGGTGGAAGAGCTGATGTGGGGCTACGACAGCAAACTGGTCGAGTTCCTCAACAAGTACCTGCCGGGCATGCTGCCGTCCACAGGAAAGTTTGGCCTTTTTGCACAGGTGAATATTTGTTTTCTTTTCCTTTCATTTTTCTATACATTCTGTTGTGCTGCACAAAAGAACTTTATCTCAGCTTAAACCGGCAAAAACTTTAAAAATCTATTTTTCCCTAAAACACTGCTACCACACCCTCTCTGACTTGTTCACACAGTGTTTTACAAAGTGTTTTGTTCTTCTTGGCAATTGGTGGCTTTCTCTTTGAATCCCAGCCATGTTGTCGTAGCTTCAGCGTGTCTTTTTCTTCTTATATAATCAAGACACTAGAAGACTTGAGCCTTGCATTACCGCATCAGGAGGTTGGATTGTAAACATTATTTTTCTTATCAGTTTAATAACTCCAATACTGGTCTATTCACCATCCACACCGGGAGAGATGACATCAGAAACGTCCACAAGGTCGACTCCTGGAATGGCCTCACTGAGGTAGGACAAATTAAAACCACTTTCACATCAGCTCTGTTCAGCCTGGTTTAATCACACTACAGGTTGTTTGTCTCGAAAGTCCAATTGAGGTGAACTTTGTTGCAGTTTGAATACTTTTGTAAACTAGACCAGCGCAGGGCATTCTGGGTAAATGCAACCAAAGCTCGTGTAGAGCCAGCTGGAGAAATGGCTCATAGTCTGCTGCTGAAAACAAAATAGAAATCCTCCAACTGCTAAAATATGGCACTGTTCCATTTTTATTCACATTTTGGGAAGAAAAAAAGTTGCACTCAGTGTCAAATTTGGAGGTTTTTGTTCCGTTTCCTTCAATGTTCTTGTTGAAGCACCACCACAGGCGAAGGGGCTAACAGGTTTTTCAAACGGTTTGGTCGGTTTGACACAGTGCAGTGCGAAAGAGAACCGAAAACGTAACAAATATTTCAGTTTTAGACCCTGATCTAGCTCTCTATGTCACCATTTTAACTCTTTTTAATGACTGGATGCTTTTCCTACCTGACTGGATTCCCTCGTCTTAACAGCTGAGCTACTGGAGGACACCTCAGTGTAACATGATCAATGGAACAGCTGGGCAGCTGTGGCCTCCTTTTATGACAAAAGAGACCACTCTACCTTTCTACAGCCCAGACGCCTGCAGGTAGGAATACTTCCTCCACATCCTCTGTGAAACGTCTTATTTCCTGTATAATTTCCTGTATTTAATTGCACTGTTATTTTAGATCTCTGGAGCTTGTGTATCAGCGATCAGGCGTGATGAACGGCATCCCTCTGTATCGATATGTCGCTCCTAAGACCATGTTCGCGAATGGGACGGATTATCCTCCAAATGAAGGCTTCTGCCCCTGCAGGCAGTCTGGACTGCTCAACGTCAGTAGCTGCCGCTACAGTAAGTACAGGCAGAGCGTAGCATTACAAAGGTCACTGATTGACCTTTGACGTTCCTGATCTCTGTGCCTTCTGAGCTCTTTTTCTTTGTAAGCAGTACATGCAATAAGCCTAATTTCATTTTGTTGTTGTTTTCTTTTAATTACAGCAGCTTAATGAAGGCTAGTGATTAATAACTTTCTACTTCTTGGCTGATTTACGCAGAGGAGGGGAAGTAATTCTTAACGGTGAAGGGTTTTGTATCTTGTTTTCAGATTGTTTCTGTGTGTTGGTTTCTTGTTTCTTGTGTAAATGTTTCCTTTCGTCAATGTTTTTTTTACTTCTTTTAATAGAACTGTGTGTTCTGTGTTCCGTCCTGTGAAGTGGTTTGTTTATTGTGCTCATTTGTCTTAGGACAAAGGGTGAAATGCTAATTCCTGCATATTTATACTGCTACACATTGTGGTAATATTGATTAATGTGCACTGTTCTAATCAAATAAATTGAATTAAATCAAACTTCCCCTTTGAATTTAATTAAGGGGATTCCTCCTCTTCACATTAAAACATTTTTTGAGCTGGAGTCCTTATTTGCTCTCACATTTGGTTTGGGTTTCTGCACATTGCGCTTGTAGAAGAATCATATTTGCTTCAGATTTAAGTTGCTATAGCATAGTGTTCTAGAAAAATAACTGCAACATTGTTTTTGTCCATTTCTAGACTCTCCAGTCTTCATCTCTCATCCTCACTTCTTTAATGCTGATCCTGTGCTGCTGGACTACGTGCTGGGTCTTCACCCCACTGAGGAGGAGCACGGCCTTTTCATTGACATTCACCCTGTGAGTTCCCACTTACACCCACACTTAAAAATTGCCACTTTTAAGAAACTCATCAGGACTGTACCAAAAAAGTTAAAATTGCAGAGGAAGAGAAGCTTCCTCTATGCTTAGAACCACATATTGTTATGTGATTCTAAGAATTTTAAGATATTTGAGCAAGATATAAATTGTGGTGGAAAAGTTATTATAAGTTAACATCTGCTGATCATGCTATATTAAATGTTTGTGAACTCTCAGCAAAAGAACCTTTTTTGGGCTACACACACAAGGTTGGAAGTTGTTTTCCTACATCTGCACAACCAGACTGTTTCCCATGTTTTGGATCCCTCATTGTTACTCCTCTCGAGTTCAATTAAACTTAACGCAGTTCTTGATTTTCTACAGCCATTTATTTCAGACACGTTCTTCTAGGTCCTCAAAAAATGCCGTCAGAACTACAAAAAAGGTAACACAACCTAAATCAGTTCACAACAAATGGCACAATATAACAAAAGATCCATACAACAAAACTGTACCTCATTAGCTGCATCAACTCCAGAGGAATAAAGTCTAATCTTCTCACAGTCTCTCCAGCTCGCATGACCCACATGGCTCCAAATGCGCCAGCCAAAGTTCCCCGGGCAACACATGCCGCGCGGAACAAAACAAAAGTTCCCCCTCTACATTCCAATGTACACCCAACATAAAACCAATAAAATTACTACTGCCACCTTAAACATAAAAAACAAAAATAAAAAACAAGAGGCAGTTGTCCTGACAGCAGCCACACTCATCCTTGCTATAAAACTCACGTGTTGACTCTGACTGGTAGAGCTTTGCATTCAGGACTTCTCCATTTTTGATTGTCTTCTCCATAATTGTGCACAGGCTCTGGATTCTGTACAATATACATATCAACCTGACTGTGTGATTTCAACTAACAGTGCTTGGAAATGATTTTTTTTCCACAAGATAAATACATTCTCAGAAGGATTTGAGTCAAAACTTTTCAGCTGTGCCTGGATTTCTTCTTGGCTACTGAGGAGTATAGAGCAGCAAAGGACTTACACAAACACCTCATCACAGATGGCTCCACTTCTCCTTGGAACGTAAAAAAAAAAAAAAATGCTGCCAATGAAACATTTGGAGAACATGCTTTTCTATTACAACATCGAAAATGTTTAGGAAAAACAAATGTTTTTCTACATTTAAATGTGATGATACTGTATGTTTGGTCATAGCCAAAAAACAATTTGAAACCCAAACCTATAACAGACCAAGAGTGACAGGGGTCACTAAAACGGTATCAGGCTCTGAGTCTACTGGGTGCCAGGGTGTCAATAGATTTATGTCTCAGGGTGCATTCCCATTCTAGAACTCTTGTTCGTTTGCCTAGAAAGTACAGTTCGTTTGTGAAGGTGTGAACATGCAGTCCAACTAAAAAAAAAAACCCTCTGTGGTTAAGTGAATGCTGGTGCGGTTTGAATACATATAGGAATGCCAAGACGGCCAGAGACTGCTTTAAAAGCAGCAAGTGGACTGCAGCCCATGGGATTGTAGGTAAATAAAATCAAAGCAAATGTGTGAGTCCAGCCATGGCAGGGGAAATGAGGAAAACAAGAGAGATCCTACAACTGCTAAAATCTGACACCATTTTATTTTTGTTTGCATTTCATGAATAAGGAAGTTGTGCTCAATTCTTCAGATCTCAGTTTTTGTGTCATTTCCTTCAGTTGTTCTTGGTGCAGCGCCACCAGAGGCGAGGGTAGGAGCAGGTTTTTTTAAAGGGTTGACACAGTGCAGTGTGGAAACGCACCAGATGAAAATGTAACAAATGTAGCAACTTAGTCTACCGGACCATCAGGTGTGAAGGCACCTGATAGCAGCATATTGAAGGCAAGTGATTAATAACTAGCCGTGATGTATAAAATGTGCCAGCTCAATTATGAAGTCTATGAAACTTATTGGATGTCACATCCACTGCTCTTAACAGAGCCAGCTGGAAAATTAGACTTTCATCAAACTGTGTGGGGAGAAACTTCGCCAATAATAAAATGTCTGATGCCTTCCTTTTCTTCCAACTTTAATTGCAATTTTCAGAAATGTGACCAACACAGATTTAACAATGTTGCTCACTTCTTCCCCTGCTATTGCTAAGCTACAGGCAGACTACAATTCTAGAACAAGGCAGAAAATCTACGTTTCGTTCACAATTTCTCCTTTTGTTTGATGAGTGGCTGATCTAGCTCAATGGGACAAATCCCAGACTGAGCCCCAAAGGTTCAGGAGAATCGAGTGGAATTGCATAAGAAAGGCTACCGGAATATGAACTCAAACTGCTGATCAAACATTCAAACCTCTGATGTCTTAGACGTTTGCTGCTGGGATCTTGGACAAAGATAGTCTGATTGCAATCATGGATTAATTGTGTCATGGTCAACTGCAGGCCTGTTTTTGCTGCTGAAGATGAGTAAAATCTTTAGATGGAATTTTATTTTTCATTGTACCATTCTTATGACTTCAGAAGTTAGCATCATTTCTAAATTCAAGGTCTTATCAGATTTATTTGATAAGACATGAACAGAACAGCAGCAGCTTGTGTCCTCGTGCTTATAGTGTGAACTAATTTGCAGCACTTGTCCCTAAATACTCTTATTAAACAGTATATCTAAACTATTAGAAAGTGAATGACAATGACACAATATGATGATCAGAATGTGTCGTTGTGTTGTAGCCGGTCAACAGTGAGAGCGGTTTGGTGATGAGCAGACAAACATAGAGAATGAGGTTTGAAGTTAATTTGTTTGTTTTTTTCTCTTATGGACACGTCATAGGAAAATGATTCTGGTTACATGAAATTTTGCTGCTGATAAACCTGCAAGTCAGGCTGCTGGTAGTCACACTGCTGTCTCACCTGACGCTTGATACAAGGTTTGATAGGGCAGAACACAGCTATTGCTCTTACTTAACCCTACCCGTGTAAACCTCATAAACCTTATCTTTTGACAGTGACATGGACAGTGATAAGGTAATTGGAAATTGCGCTATTTGCTTCTAATTGCCGTTGTTCGCGAGGTTGTAAAGAACTCTGATTCCAATAAAAAGATAATAATCCAGCTTTGATATGAAAGCAGATTGTGTACAAAGACGAAAGCTGAGAAGATGGAGTCAGTGTTTCTTCAAACCTTCCTCTTCTACAATGACCTGGAGTAATGAATGAAACACTCTGGGCAACATTTGCTTCTCAATATTTCTAAAATAACACCACAAAACACGAGCTGCATTTCCATTACAAATGTGCTCAAGTCAAAAAACACACAATTTTGCAATTGCTGTGTTTCCATTAAAGAAGAAATGAAATTAAAAGTGCATGTGAAAAATCTTGATTTTGCAATAAGTCATTAAAACAGCATGTAGTTCATGAAAACAGTTACATGAATTATATTCATAATTCAGCCACTTATCATCAGCCATCGGAGGAGACACTGGGGTTTTACTCAGCCTCTGGAGCTACAAGCCACTTATACTTGGGAGAGCCTACGTATGTTGCGTTTTGGAGAAATTGTAGTTGGAAATTTCTCAGAAGAACTATGGATTAAACATGTTGGAATGACACAACTTTTATGAACTGTGTGATCCCGTGAGAGCTCTCTTGGAGGCAGCTGCACAATGTCTGAAAAAAACAAAAAGAAACCATCATTCTCCTATTTCCTTTTACTACTCCTTCACTGTTTTCTCCAGTAGTATCATTGAGTGACTCGCCTGAAGCAAAAAAATGTCTCCAAGGCAACTGCATTGGAGACATTGAGACATTATAAATCAGCATTGAGAAACCGTCTCATCTCACCGCGAAAACGTTTTACTGAAAAACCTTTCCAAAACTGCCGTGTTTCCTTTAAGCGGATCTATTTTCATGATTTCAATTTGTGCACTTTTATGGTTAGTAGAAAGGCAGATAGTAATATTGATAGCAAAAGCAATCTTGGAACTCTGGTGTCTTACAGAATAAACATTTTCATGAAACACACCAGAGATTATATGAAGGTCAAGGAACACACCAGAGATTATATGATAATACTAATATAATAATATCCAATACTTTCAACATCTCAGAGCTTTGTTCAATCCACTTGGAAAGAGCATGGTACAATTATATATCTACAAAGACATGACAGATGGGAATAATTGGATCATATTTATTTTCCCCACATCTTGGCCTAGAGTTGTTGAATTATGTCATTCACAGCAGGAGATAATCTACTGGACAAGCATTCAGAGGAAGAAATGTAGGGGAGCTTTTGTTGGATGTTCCCTTGAGCTAGGGCATGCTGTGTAAACTGTTGTATTTCAGTTGCTGCATGTTGGACAATGTTGGCTTCCTCACTTGTTTTGGTGCTGTGTATTCCTATTATTGATAGTTGGAAAGCTTGTGCAAAGATCAGCAAGATTTTTCTGATATTTTTCTCCTAATTTACTAAATTCCTAGAAGATTCAACATTGGCTTCATTTACACGAGAGAAATGGACACTGGAAGTTTTTCTATGGATTTAGGTAATGTGAAATTATTCACTCAGATGGTAGTAGATAGTAGCGGATTTTTTTCACCCACATTTTCTCTGTCACCTTCTTAAACAAACACAGTTGTACTACAATGGAAAGTACTCACCTTTAATAGATTATGGAAAGTTTCAGGAAGTCATAAAATCAGTGCCAAAGTGCAGGAAAGCTTTTATAGCAGGGCATCCATGTGTACTTTATCAGGTGTGCTGATCCCCAGTTGCATTCCTTTTGTTTACCCTAATCATCCTCCCCTCACTCCCACATCTACCCTGATTTATATTGCTTTTTTATGAGAGCCACATGTCTGAGGACTGAGCCCTGCATTTTGCTGATGTCAGTTGTCTGGTTCTGAGCCTAAAGTCTGGACTGAGGTGTGTCACAGTTTGTTCTGCCAGAAAAATGTCCAGGGCATTGTGTCTTATTTGTCTTCCAAGTGTCACAAGCCATAACAATCCTGTTTCTTGGGGGGTTTGGAAGGAATACCAGTGCAACTTCCATTAGTTCCAACATAAAGTGCACCTTCCAACTGTCCCATTTTCTGTCAGCAGAATGTTTTAGTGCATTTTCAAGTCTGTGTGTTCCTTTCATTCAGTAGGGGTTGGGACCTTGGAGTTTGCTCAGAGGCCGTTTTTTGATTAACACAAACCTCCACTGAGTCAAGTGAGACCTGCAGTGCTTCAGATGTTGTCCTCACTTCTTTTGTAAAATTCTTGGGGGAGCTGTCACTGCTGTCTTGCAGTAATTTTAATAAGCTGGCTTCTCTGTATGCGATAATTGATCTAACTGGAGTTTCAAAACCTTAGAAGTGATTTTCTAACTTTTCAAGACTGATGGACAATGACTTTGTAATATCCCACTTATTGTCAAGTCAAGAAAAGCATACAATATGGGCTCTACGTAGCTGTGGTTCCATTACAAACGTACCCCAAACTTTGCCAATATTCTGCTAATGCCAAAAAAATGATTTCAATTAAATAGCAAATGCCATTAAAGTCACATTACAAAGTTTGCTCATGTGATGTCATTAAAAAAAACATGCCGCGCTAGCATCCACCAACTACGTACTGTTGTCTCCTTTGTGGGTTGCATCAGTGGCAACATCCAGTTGTTGATCATGTGACTCATGGGATGCACAAAATGTGTTTCCATTGCAGTTTTCCAAAACAAACCAATTTTGGTATGGCTAAATAGACACCAGCAATTATATGGTCAATGGAAATGCTGATAGTGGCGTCAGGCAGTGGAGCTATAACACTATCCTTCTTCATAATCCATGTGGTGGCAGCTCAAAGATTGACTAAGAGGCTCAACATCGACTGGATCAATAATCAACCTTGTTGATCACAAGTCTGAAGCTTCACCTTTATTTGCAAAAGAATAAAGAATTGATCAGAAAGAACATTTTTTTCAACTGAAGGCAAGATATTAAAAAGTGCTTCTCCAATCTCTTCCCCTCAACCCTCACGGAAGAAACCACAGACATTGCTCAGTCCATTAGGTAGTGTTAAGCTCGCCTGAATGAATATAGCACATTACTTCCAGTTTCCTTCAAAATAAAGAGGAGGTTTTTTTTCCAAGACGAAACCCATATAAAAAATAATGATCCTAAATGAATTCAACTTTTCTGGCAGGTTATGCAGACAAGCCACATCCCCCCACAACTTTGGTAGCTTGCTAGGTCACTGAAGCCTGAGCTTGCTTTTGGGCTTTTCTTTTCTGCATATTGGAGGAACCCTGTGAATATTTGAAACTGTCAAAGTGTTTTTCACTGGTGAATAATCTTTCTCTACTCTAAATTATGATCTCCAGATATCTGCTAATGGTTTCCCTGTTTGATAGATAAACAATAGTTGTTTTGCTAAGGTTGTTGCTGACGTCTTTCCCCCTTCACAGCATGTCCACACTCACACTAGGCTTGAGACCTGCTTTCCTTTTAAAATGCTTATGTTTCCCATCCATGATAAGAATTTCCTCCTTTTCTTTACCACGTATGGCCCTTGCTTAGAAATTAGCATTGTTCAGCTTTTTGTTTATAGCATAATTACTGATAACTAAAAATCCACATGGATTTTATTCTCCCTATGTGACTTCTGTTTTGTGTGTGTGTGTGTGTGTGTGTGTACAGCTCACAGGTGTCCCTCTGAATGTGTCCATACGCCTCCAGCTTAACCTCTACATGAAGAGAGTATCAGGAATTACGTAAGACTTATGAATTGTCACATCATCCATTTTGTCACCTATTGTACATTTTACAATCTTCTTATTTTAGTGGTGTTTGAAGTTTTATGTTCTTGACCTTGTAGAGAAACTGGAAAGATTTCTGAGGTGGTGATGCCCCTGCTGTGGTTTGAGGAGGTAAGCTGCTGCTGATGTGCATCTTGAGAGGCTAATGCCTACAGATCCACTCAATAAGTTAGAATGTTATAAAAAGTACATTTATTTTAGGAACTTTATCACATTTTATAGTGTATTTTTATATAGATGGATGTTTGAAAGTAGATGCAGCAACATGGACTTAGAATTTTATTATGACATTTTGTGGTAGTATTGGAAAAACAATTAACTTATATTATGACAAAAAGGGTATTTATTACTTATTTTTCAGGTGTTAATAGCCCCACAGACACAAACATTGTTATTGAGAAATATTTCCATTTCAAATATGTTTCTTCAGGATGCCAAAAAAAGTCTGACTTATATCACAGTAACTGCATTTATTCATAGTTTTGAATTTAGTAATACTTATCGATGCTCTTGTGAAAAACAAAAGTAGAGAAAATTGTAGAACTAACATTTTCAATTATACTGCCAGTTTTGTTTTGTTTCGTGCTTTTCTTTATAATCAGCAACTGAAATTTATCATGACAACAATCAATCAAAATTTGTAATTCCTGGAGAGACAGCAGCACATTATCCAAAAACCCCCCAAAAACAAATCATCCTCCCCCTACTTTCTGTTGTTTTCACCAGTATTAACATCCACCTGTGATCCAAAATACATTTTTCCATTTCAGTTTTGCAAAATACATCTCCCAGTGCAAGTACTTTATTGAAAAATGTCAATTTTTTTCAAAATTGGCATTTTTCCATTGAACAAATTAATTTTCCTATTTGTAATTTGCACAATTTTATGGCTAACAGAAACGGAGCAAAGCTTCGACTTTTCAGAAATTGTTAAATCTCTTTTTGGTCATTTTGGGCTGGTGAATGGAAGTTGCAGGATACAGGCTGTTTATGTCGTTAGTGGGTTTTTTTTCTTCTTAAATGTGCGTAAAATGGGAAGATGGATTTAGCTAAATATGGGACAAAACCTGAAATGCTGCAAAAAATCAACTAGAAATATCTCTTTCTGAGCCAAATCAAGAGTAAAACAGTTTTTCCTTCACTTTCATCACTTTGCCTCTGCAGAACGGATACATTGATGGACCGATCCTCACTACATTCCACACTAACCTGGTTATTCTCCCTGCTGTCATGGAGTACATACAGTACATCTTCATAGCCCTCGGCCTGCTCACCACCATAGTGGCCGTCCTGGTGTACTACAAAGTCAAAGTAAGAATCCCCAACAGTCAGCTGCTGTCATTGACACTCTGCCTGTGGCTCGCTGCATGTTTTCCAGTTAGTGGATGGAGGAAAGGAGCAGGAGAGACGACACTGAGGATCAATGGCATTATTAGGCTTTTCATAAATGCACGATACGCTGAGGATGCATTTATAAGTCTGCAGCAACTTTGTGTATTGTCAATTTTAGCCAGATGCAGAACAGGCGTCTGGCTAAAATTATTCCCCAAATAATTGTGGGAATTATTTCCCACAAAGAAAAATATTTCCATCACAGCTGTTTGTGAAGATGCACAGTCACTCCTGCTCATTCCAGGATCAAGCTTTGTTTGTCTACAAGTTAAACTATGAACCCTGCTTTGACTAACCTGACGAGGAGAGTAAAAAGTCCAAATCTCTCCAGTGTTGCTGGCTGTTGAAACCCGTCCTCCCCAACTGCTGTTGATTATTCTTCCTGCCTGTTTATCTCATCATCGTTAACTCGTAAACGAGAGCCTATCAGTTATGGCTTAATTAGTGGGTGACATTACGCAGTAGTGTTAATCAGAAAGGCCAAAGTCATCCATGCTGATAGCAGAACAGGGAACACATGAGAGCAGATTTGGTTCTTCTGCTTTGTTATTGTGTTCTTTACTGAACATGTTTTAGTTGTTTTAGCAATTTATAGCGCAGACTAATGTTGTCATCACTAATAAATTCCTCAACGATCAAAAACCAACAGATAAAACGAGCTGGTGCAGTCCATCAGTAAAGTGTCAGTCTTATCTCCGTCATTCCGTTGTGTTATGAAACGAGTCATGTGTAGTGTTGTAAAATAACTTAAAAAAGCTTTGAAGGTTAATCAGTAAAAGTTCCAATTTAGTCAGTGTAATGTTAACAGTGCATACTATTTTTGTGGTAGGTATTGTATTTGTTGCAGACAGCCAGCAACCAGCATGGAAAATAAAACAAAATTTAATATTTTACTGAAATCTCATACTGAAGTGCAAAAGATTTGAATGTGTTTGACAAAAGTTCTTCGTTTGCTTTCAGAAGTCTAGAAATAGAGCAGCGACTTCTCCATTCTTTGAGAATTCTTGGGTTTGTACAATCGCCTCATACAAATCATCCAAATTAACAGACAGCTTTTCAACTTAAAATCTTTGACTTTTAAACTTTAATAATCAGGTTGATATGAAACATATTTTTCAAAATTTTATTTCCAAATCATTGCAGACGTTTTTGATTGTCAGTTAATCTGGGGCTTTAAAATCGAAAGGTAGAAAAAAGGTCCAATGGCAGCTTTTTGATAAATTGGAGGTCCATAATTAGGCTTGGTTTATTATAAATGGATATTTGTTTCACTGTGAAGCAATGAACTTTCAGACGCTCTCTTATGCACAGTATGAACAGTAATTCACATAAGAACTGGACATTGAACCTCCCCTCCAGTAGGACTGGGCAATTATCAGGTTCAACAAGGTGAGGATTCAACCAAGTGGTGCCAAAACATTTTTTTTAGTTTCTGTTTCAGTATTATAAATTGGATAATGTGGCCAATCCTTACTTCTGTGAATTACAGTAACCATTAGTTAGTTAAACCTTTCATACTTCCTGTAGTGAGAAATAGACCAGAGTGGCCTCTGGGTAGAAATGCATTCACTAAAGGACTGCCGTACATTTTGGGCAATAAAATATTATCTTATTTAAAAAAGAAATTTGCTTTTTTTTACAATAATTTTAACCCAGTGAAACTTAAACTGTGGCACTTGAAAGGTTGGGTAGGACAAAAGATTTTTTTCATCTTAAATGTATTTATTGTGCAGGTTTGGTTCACATCCTGCTCTGAAAGTATTGTTTTTTTTCAGCAAATGACACATTTCTTGAGCCTATTATTATTACCCTAACAATAATCGATTAATTGTTAATCGATTAATTAACAATTAATCGATTAATTGTTTATGTTAATCGATCAGTAAACCTCACAAAATGTATGAACTCTTTGTATTTCTAACCTGGTAGTTTGGGAAGGAAAGTAATGGAGCCACAATTGATGGCTGACTGTGATTAGGTCAGGCTGACTTTACCTGTAGTTCTATTCCTCTGCTGTTTTGGGAAGCACGGTTCTGCTGAGGCTTTAAAGAAAAAGAACAGTGCCATGTCTTATTTAGTCATGGCTATAATGCGTCAAAAGATTTCCTTGGTTACAGAAGGCAAAAAATGATAATTTCCTGTTTCCATATCCCAAGCAGTCCCATAATGCAACTAGGAATGAAAATCTTTGTGAGTGATGTGGAGTTTGTTTGTTTTAGATGAAACTGGGAGAAATCGCACGATGTACTCTATAACAGGAAGAACCTAAAATAAGAAAATCGCTTCATTTCTTAACATACAGAGTTGCATCATAATTCATATATAAATTGTTCCAAACCATCACTGCTTGGAAATCCTTCTGACTTCCGACTAATCACGCCTGAGATATAACCAATTGCCTGCCCTCGTAATTCACTGCATGACACACTCAATTGCCCACAGAAAATAATCTGTGCATGGACAATCCCTGAAATCAATTTTTTTTTCTAATTGACCCATTTGTAAGGTAATTTGATCATCTTTTAGGCAACCAGTAGTGAGCAGGATAAAGGCTCACATGGCTTTGAAACACAGGACAAAAGTATGAGGTAATCAGGTATGTTCACACTCACAGGCATTGGGAGTAATTACTAATGTCCAACACCTGCAGGGGAAATAAACACAATGTCTGCTTTTGTTTTTCACAAAAAACAATTGTGTTTTGTGTCACTGTTGCTGTGTATGTTTTCTTGCATGATGGCAGCTCTTATACAGGGGGTAACACTGGACCTGACCTAATCATTCACAAGAAAACTAGATTTGCTTTTAGTGCTTGGCTAAAAACAAACAAGGTTAGGACTAGCATTCCTATTCCTGTTGCAAACAGAAACTATTTAGTAGTTCATTTGTGTTTGAAATAAATGGGAGGTTGAAACTTCTATGATGCTATTTCTTCGATTTTCCTTGAATTCTGCTTTTAAAGGTGGTCACAGTCTCCAGAAGGTTGTGTGATGACTGTGCAGAAAAAAAAAGAAAAGAAAACAGTCATTTCATAACTTCTAACTAGTGGGTCAACATAATTAACCAGGCTTATCAAGCCAGTTATTTTTATTTAACTGTATCAGTCAAGATGTCTCCCAAGATATACTGACTGGTTGAGTTTGGAGAGTATGCATTCACATAACTCCAACTGTTGTGGGATTTCCAGGGAAACAGGATGGAGCTGATGTAAGATAATCACTTTGATTTATACCCTTGGATTTTGTATATGTTAACCAAACTTGTTTACAGTATGTCGCCAGCGGGAAAGCAACACCTACAAAGCTTGCAAAGAGAATACTGATCATCTGACTGCAGCAGACCCCCATTAGAGTCAATGAATACTGAAAATCTCCTCTAAAAACAATTATAACTGCCCATTTCAATAGTTCAGACACCAAATATACCTTTATATGCTTTGAAAGCACAATAGAAACAATCTTACCACGACCACAGAGGAAAACATCCACAGTCTCCCTTTCTCTGTTCTCAGTAGTAACAGCCAATCAGCGCCAACGAGCATAAACATCGATCCTGGATTGTCTTTGTCAGCAGAAAAGCAACAGTAGTAGAACTGTGGTTTAAATTAGCAGTACAGCTGTCACACTGTTAAAACTTTTCTTGTGGTTCAGTGGTGTACAAAGAGCAGAAGGCAGTCCAGTATCATTGTTCTACACATCTGATGCTTCAGTTTGATCCCTTAGAAACCGCAACACTGCCCCTTTATAAGCTCTGGTACATCTAAATGTACCATTTTTCAGGAAATCCCTTGCTTGTTGTCCTGCTGCTTTCAGAACAGGTTAGAACTCCAACAGCCAGGCTCAAAAACTGAAAACATTTTGCATAGAGTCAACATTTTAAGATGCAGAAACCATTAAAAAAAGTTGTCTCAAAGTATTTTTACACAGAACCTCAGAGGAGCGCTTGCAAGTCTTAGCATTTAATTTCTCATGTGAACAATAAATAATTTATCTGTGTTCATCTCACAGAGAAAGACGTGCGAAGGAGACGTCTTACCGAGGACAAACACGAGCACTTCAACTCATGAACAAACCCCTCTGCTTCAAGACAAGCAACGCTGACATACTCCCTCCTCAAAAAAAAAAAAAAAATGTACTGACCCAGCTGCTCAGAATATGGAACAAGATGCACAACGCCATATTACACCAGAAGGTTTACAAAACACTCAGCCAAAGATGGTCTCTGACCTCTTAAGCTGTTTTAAATATGCAGATTTCCCACAGCTAAAATCAGCTATTTTATTTTCTTATCATTTCATCATCACCGACAGCAGTGGAGAGAAACTGCAGTGATTTTAGTTGGGATTTAGAAAAAAGCTTTAGCTTTGACTACAAGGGAGCTAATTAACATTTTTTTAGCCAGATGTTTTGTATTTTAACCACAAATGTGCCTTCATCATGGGAATTTATTGAGTGCAGTTGATCTCCTGTGCTGTTGCGTTCTGTTTACACTGAGGAATCTGGAGATGAAACTGAGCTCGTTTTTAACCATCAGCACAGTTTTGCACATACAGCCGTGACAATCATCGAGTGGAGCAGAGGAGACGCACTCCTTGTTATGTACTACTGTCTTCTGTTGGAGTTTAAATGTATATGTTCGGGACAATGCAGATAACGCTGTTTGATGTCTGGCACACGTTTATTGTGTTTAAATAATAATAAAAAAAAAGAATAAAAGAGTATGAAATAAGAGTAATAGAAATGTACTGATGTTTGACATCAGTTCAGACTAAAGTTCTCAGAGATCTTCAGTCTCTCTCTACCTTCTCATTTTCAGTTGATGTTAATTTGTACTGTCTTTTTTCATTGTGGAAGGAATAAATGTGAATAAATCACCTGAATAAAGATTTTGAAGAATTTGTCTTGTGAAGTAGAAGAGATGCATTTCTTTAAGGCCAAAAAAGTGGCATAAATAAGTTCTTTAAATGACTTTAATGTCTAGTGATCAAATTAATGCCATACCCAGTCAATGAAACTAATTCCTCTGAGGATGAGTGTGTGCTCCCCCCAGGGAGTTTAAGTCAAGTTTATTTGCATAGAGCATTTCAACAGCAAGACAGTTCAAAGTAATTTTCACCATAAGAACATAACAACAATCACTTATGAAACCAAATAGCATTATTTTCTTTAATGATGTCAAATGCAATCTTCAAACTCATCAAGAATTATCAACATTAAATATATTAACATCCATGTTTTTTAAATCAAAGCTCTAGACAGATGAGTTTTGGCCTTTATTTAAATGAACTCAGTGTTTCTGTTGTTTAGCAGTGCACAGATCAACCAGTCAAGTGTATTTGCATAGAACGTTTATTTAAAGAGCTTCATGCCATAAAAACACAAGAATTAGAGGTTAGAATAACATGCAGCCGACAATTGAGAAACCAGTGACAAATGTTCCATTTTGATGAGCGCCATCATCAAGATCTTGAAAATACCTTCCATATGTTGTCCGGCACAAAAGAATCACTGTGATAATTTCAATATTTCTATAATGAAAACATACTAACTTAAAAGCATGACTATAATTAAATAATAAGCAGTGTTACAAATTGAGATATAATTGTTAAACTGTCCAGTGTCTAGATTTGAAAGAAAAGAAGAGGGGTGCAGGCATTGTTTATAAATCAGTGTTCAAGCAGTTTTCTTCATCAATTCAAAACCGAAGCTGCAAATCTAAATATGGGAATCATACTGTCCTGGAATCAGCATGGATCCTCTGAACTGATGCACTGGAGAAAAGGTTGCAACTCCAAGTGTTGCATCTGTTTTATGGGTCTATGTTCACATTGTGGAACCCTGCCCTCCTCCTTTGCCAGAATAGTTCAACTCTCAATAAAGATGGAGAATAGAATAGAAAAACTTTGTTAATCCCATAGGGAAATTGAGGTAGTCTGTCTGTAGCTCACACAAATGTGGACATTTTGCTTCTGAGAGCAGGTTTCTGAAATAACAAGTGTCAATATTGCCATCGGCTCCTGCCCAGCTTTTACAACAGCGGTGAACCTGTGCTGCAATTATTGTCCAATCTATTTTTTTGTGGGGGTTCCAGGTTCAAGCACAGTCCTAAAAGTCTGTTAATGCTACATCCTCAAGTATAAAATCAGCTTTGGGGTTTTCAGGAGGTGGAATTCTGGCACTTGTGGTTTTTCACATGCTTCAGCCCAAATTTAATATCAATTTAAAGGCATTTTTTGAAAACTGATTTGTGGTACTTGTCACTTTCCATACTTTTCCATAAATGTTGAAATGTTTCTGTTTTCTTTCTTCTGCTTGTGTGACATGTTTAGATTCGGGGCCATTCTCCACTGGTGCACGGGAAATTTAAAAAAAGTAAAAAGGTTTTATGTAACTTAAATATTAGCTTTATATTTTTCCTCATCAACAATCCTATTTTGAAAACAATATTCTTGACTGTAGTCATTTAGTTTGAGGGCCCAGAACTGTCCGTCTGTAAACTAATTCAGCGCAGTTGCACTTTGGAAGTTGACAGCCAGGTGGCGCCACAGACGCAGTTTTGGGCCAAGGAGACTGCAGTGGAATAGCAACGCAGCAAAGGTTTTCTGACCATTACCACAGGGAAATAAAAGAGAGAAGTGAAGAAGTGAAGGTGACATTCTGCTAGTTTCTTCTCTGGCTCTCCAACTGATGCAGATCAGGGCCACTGAAAATGAGTCATATGCTCTGCACATATGCTCTGCACAAAAGTAAAAATTAATATAAATATGGAACATCTGATCTTGTGAAATACTTTGGTAGTAAATACTGTGATGTGTTCAATGAAGCTAAACACTGATGGTTTTTTTTTCTTCTTTATTTATTTTTTTTTTACACTCCCACAGAATAATAATACACAAAGCATAAATAAAAAGTTTCCACCATCTAACTCCAACAACTTCCTGCCGTCTACTTCTTGTGGCGCCGTCTGCCAGTTCTGGTCCACTGGGTTTTCTGAACCAGGACATTCAATAGAGCTTCATGTTTTCTTCAGGCCAAATGATCAAAAAACCATCAGAATCAGACATTTGAAATGTATCAGGATTCATCTTTTCACTCATTGAACTGAATCACTGTCATAAATTTAAAGTTCACTCACACTAATTGCATTGAGGCACATCTTAATAAAACACCATATGCAAAAATGACAATCATAAAACAAAAATATACACACATTTCTTTTTCTAGCTCAACTTAAATCAGGAATGAAGTCAGGTTGCTGTGAAAATGAGACATATAATAACGCAGATGAGTGTGCAGCCCTGATATTTGGTGCTGCTGCACAGACGGCCGTGTTGCTGCTCTGTAAATCCAGCCTCGGTCAAGTCCTCACTCTGGATTATTTTCCTGGCAGTTCATTTTGCTTTCCTCCTCTTCAAAGCTCTGGAGTGGCTGAGAGACGTCTCACTCTGACCAGGACTGACTCTGTCTCTGGGTTTTATCAGAAGAAATCCCAACTTGAAAAACAAGAGGATGCTGCCACACCCAGCAATCTCTTCATTAAATGTTTTTGATCTCCAGCTGACTGTCTGAGCGTGAGAGCAGAAACGATCAGGGAAGCTGCATTGAAAAGGTAAACAGGATCACTGCGGCTGCATGTCACAGATTTGTGTCCATGCAGAGATTAGAAGTCCAGCTTTATTGAGATTTCTGTTTGCTCAACGCTCATTGAGCCAACAGTAATTATTATTCAGTCATTCACAAAAAGCAGTGATGGATTATGTCGTTTTATGCAGATTACAGTCAGTTTGTCCAAACGTACAACTAGACATGTTCAAGACAGAAACACACACACACACACACACCACACACACACACACACACATGCACACCCATGCACACACACGCACTTGCATTTAGAGTTCTGTAATATAATTTCCAGTTTGTCCATTCCAAATCATATTCCTTTTTAAAATGAGAGAAACAAGAAGTGAGAAGCTGAGAGAAATGAATGACTCAGTGTGTATCTTTTCCTTTTAGGACTAAAAAAAGTTTCAGTTAAAGCCTTAATTCTAATTGTGTGTTGAAGGAAGATGTTTCTTTATTTCAGTGGACTTGTTCCATATTAATAATAATAATAATAATAATAATAATAATAATAATAATAATAATAATAATAATAATAATAATAATAATAATAAAGAAACTGAGTAAAAATATTCTGAAAACTTGACCTCCAGAGAATTTGACCTGAACCAACATTAATGGACCGGCAGCTGCAGAAAATTTCTCTCCATCAAAGGAAAATTAAAGCTCAACTTTGCCTGTAATAATTTTGCACTGATTAAAAATAAAAAATGGCAACATGTCCATCTGCATCAACCACCTGTGCTGACTCGAGAGAATTTGTATTTGACCTGGAGTCAAGGCCACACAAAATCCCTCCAGAGGTCAAAAATGTTCTCCGGGCCGCAGATTGGACATCTCTGCCTTAAACAGTTTGTTTGACTGGGAACCTGTCTGTATGATTTTTGTTAAAATTACTTTTTTTTCTCCTAAAATTCCTTGAAAAGAGATGCTGTTAATTGGCGCCATATAGATAAACTGAACTTTATTGAAAATTCAGGTTATTTTTGACATTGAAGTCAGTTTCAACAATTAAAATGATTAAGTCTGACATACATAATAATCGCTGTACAGAAAGTTAATTATACAACCACACATGTAGCGAGTTCATTGAATACAAAAACATATGATCTCACAATACGAAGATGACATTTGGTCCAAAATAGCCTCAGAGAAGACAAGGATTTTTTTTTCCGTGAAACTAAAATTATAAAACCAAAAAGTCTTTATGCAATTACTGTTTTCACAAGTAAACTATTGTATGTAAATGATTGTTTTAATCTTCTTGTCAGTCTCTTCAGGGAGAGGAGAGGTTAAAAGCAGTCAGAGGATCATCACCTTTTTTCTGAGTTGTCAGGTCAGGTTTATTTCCACGGCACATTTCAGCACCACTGCAGTTCAAAGAGCTTCAGATGAAGGAGAGCTGGATGGAATTAGCTAAGAAGAAGTTTATTTGTGTCTTGAAGTGTTCTGAGGGATGCTGGGAACACTGAGCCCTGATTGGCTGGTTCGGGCGGAGCGCAGTAACTCCAGAATCCCTATACGGACATTGAGAGGATGGGATCCACCAGGCTGCATTCCAATCCGATCTTTACTAAAGAGTGAAGGATGTTGTCTGAGGTTATGAAAAAAGACTTTAAATGGATTCTAACAGCTTTTCGCTAATACATATTACAATTGTAATAAGTAATATTTGAACATTAATAAGGATCTTCTCAAGCCAGTCAATATACAGCATTTAGAAAAACCAACTAGGAAAAGTGATACCAATACCGGTACTGGTATGAGTATTGGGCCCGGTACCAGCAGCCAGTACTCATACTTGTAAAAGCAAACTGATACTCCAAACAGATACAAGTTCTCTGCCAGATTTTCCTCCAGGGCTGAGCTGTGGAAGTAGCTCTGCTATGTTAGTTCTGATTTGTTGTTTTTCTAGACTTCTGTTCATTTTTTGGGGGGTTGAAGCGTTACATGTCGCATGACAATTATTCTTTCTGGTGAAGCTGGAAAGATTCAGCTAACTTCTTAAAGCTCAAATAATGCCTGAACTATGACCCCCAAGTCTCAGCGGAGCATGGATTCAGAGCAGGACCAACAAGCAGAGAGCGATGGAGGAAGTTCAAACCATCTCTTCTTTCAGTCATAATGAGAAAGGATCACATCCCCTACTCCAACCTCTCTCTGCCGTCTAGCCATCCAGCCAGACAGAGGTTTAAAAAGGAGCGGCAAAGCAAATGAGGTGGATTAGCAGTGCCAGCCAACAACTGATGGTGTCATCCAGGATATGTTGCTGCGGAATAACATCTGCTGCCCTGACATTGAGCTGTTAGCATGTTTTGACAGCCATGAGACTCTCATTCAGCAACAGTGGCTTCAGAAAGAGGACTCTTAAAATTCATCACAAGACTAACTGCTACTCCAGATTCGTCCTGCCCACAGCATCACTCTTTAGAGATACTTTGACCACATGAGTTATGACATTTAATTTCCCTTTGGGATAAATAAAGTGTTTTTGAATTGAAGTGTGCTGCACACATTTGTTTCCAATGAACAGGAAACTATTCTTCTCTGTGCTTCTGAGAAACTGATATGACTGAGGCCTCTTTTTTTTATCTACAACAAATAATTTCCTGTTTTTTATGAGAAATTCCAGTTCATATGCACTGCAGTTGGAGGCAGAAACAGGAGTCGCTTTGTAACCAGCATATGAATATAAACAATCTGTGGAGAAATAGTGGCAGTCTGCATAGAAACAGAAAATCATAAGGCCACTGGCACTAACCAGTAAACAGTAAATGTAGTGATGAATGGAAATCACCCGCCCATTCAATCTGATTCACAAACTGACATTAGTTGCATTTCAAATGAGCTCATATATTTGTTCTAATGTTCAAAAAGACATCATTTCTCAATTGCGGTTTCTGTTAAGTAAGTTAAAGTAAAATAAACTTGCCATTCACTGTGGCAAGGCACAGATGTTAACAGATACATGACTTACATGTGTCTGTATTCATTCTCCTTATCAATCAGCCAATCAGAGGAGACGTCAAGGTCTTATTCAGGCATTGGAGCAACAAGCCCCGCCTACTTAGGGAGTGACCACTGATGTGGCGTTTTGGGAAAATTGTAGTCTGCAATTTTACAGAAGAGTTATGGATTCAACACGTTGAAACGACACACAAATTCTCATGAACTGCCCAATTCTGTGAGGGCTCTGCTGGAGCCAGCTGCAGATCGCCCGGAAAAACTAAAACATCGTCCGGAAACTTCCTGTCGTGTTCTTCGTCGCTTTCGCCACTTGTGACATCTGGCTGTTCATCACGTGACTAATGTGATGCTGAAAAAAGTGTTTCTATCACACTTTTGTGAAATACATCTACTTCAATATACAGCTGAAAAACAACCGCATCCTGGCGCAAAAACGTTTTTGTCATAATTGTTGCGTTTCCCTTAAGCACATTTATTTTCATGATTTCACTTTATGCAACTCCATGATTAATGGAAATGCAGCTACTGTCCTGTTTCAAGATTGCATGGCGACTGCTACAATCTAAACAGATCAGCAGTTCATCACAAGGCAAAGACACGCGAGACAAACACCTGCACCTGCTACCTGTGACATTGAAATTGCGCCTTATGTCTGCAGCAATGAGCCTCAGACTCCCTCCTGGTCGTGCTACTTGTGGCTCGTTTCCCATCTCTGGACCGCTATATTTAGCCGGGCTTGTGACCTGGCTGCTGCAAACCGAACCGGTCTCCACACATTGTCAAAACAAGGGGCTAATCCTGCCCAACAGGTGCTGGGTCTGTACAGACAGGCAGTCGGCAAGCACTCCCCAAGCTCCCACGCAACAACAGTTAAAAACAAGTGAATTTACATTGTTGCTAAGCAAACCCAGGAGTTCCTCTTCAATCAGCTTCCCAAGTCAGAAACACCGGGGTCAAGACTCTGAGCCGTGCAGGTGATAAAGGATGAGATTCTCTCAAGTCTCATACATTACTTTGTATTGAAGCCCTCATCCAATGATATCATGTGGTTTTATCAGCTGTTTAACTCATGCGTGACCTGTGCAGGTTGGTTAGCCGTGTTAGCATTGGTCTCTAGGTGCTGCCGAGCTCCTGGGACAAATCCACTCTTTACCCCTAATGGTGGAAACGTGAGAACTTCAGGGCAGAGCATCAGAGACCGAGCCGTTCGTCGCGACTTCCACGTGAGGATAAGACTCAGTAGGTTGCACCTCGGTTGCTGTGGCAGGAACAGCGGTCTCCGTTCGGCTCGCGGGGTATATGCTGACCTGAAAGCAGAGAGCATCAACAGATCGGTGAGTGGACAACTCCAAACGGTCGTTGATGCATGTCCTAGCTGAGAGAGTTGTGTTATTTACCATTGGCTGGTGACAGATGGCAGAGTTCATCTTCTGATCAATTACACTCAGAATTACCTCTATTCTACCCAAACACTTCCCAAACAACCATACTCCCCAAGACCTTGGGTTTCTGTGTGAAATATAGACAAAACCAAAGAGCAATGGTTTAAAAATGACTTGAACCCTGTTTTTAATCAGACACAGCAAACACAACATTTGAAATGTTCATGCATATTTTAGAGTCTGGAACCAGGGACACAACAGGACAGATGCAGGACCTAAGACAAAGTTAAGACACTAAAAAAACCCAGCATTTACCAGTTGATGCTCGAATTATGCCACTATGAGGTTCACCAGTTCGAATACTTGTGAACACAAATAGCAAATCATCCAAATCAAAGCAAGACATCTAAATATAATGAAGGCAACTTGTTGACGTTCAAGTTGAGCATCGGAATGAGGAATAAAAGGATATTTAGACTTTAGCTGTGACTGCATTGGCTCTCCAGTATTCGCAGCGGTTAGAAATGAGCAAATACTTCAGCCGCCCTCTAAAACACTTATATCTTCTCAATTTAATAGTTTAGACACCAAAACATAACCAAATATTCATTAAAGTGCACAGTCCAAACCACCTTGCAAGTAAGGAATACTCTTGGTCTTCATAGTCTTTACTCTTAGTGGGTTACAGCAACTGCCAAGGAAAATGAATGCTGCAACTAGATTGTCTGTTTGACAAACGACAGCCAATAGCATGTCATATAGAACTACCATGGAAACCATGGATCATCCTACACACAAATTTTGCAGCAGCATTCTGAGTCAATCATGTCAATGTAAATAAAAATGTCTGAAACGTCTCCAATGCCGTGTTGACTCCATACCAAGCATTTCTAAAGGTGTACCCATAAAGACCAGAACCCATAAAGACCAGAACCCATAAAGACCAGAACACATAAAGACCAGAACACATAAAGACCAGAACCCATAAAGACCAGAACACATAAAGACCAGAACACATAAAGACCAGAACACATAAAGACCAGAACACATAAAGACCAGAACCCATAAAGACCAGAACACATAAAGACCAGAACCCATAAAGACCAGAACACATAAAGACCAGAACACATAAAGACCAGAACCCATAAAGACCAGAACACATAAAGACCAGAACCCATAAAGACCAGAACACATAAAGACCAGAACCCATAAAGACCAGAACCCATAAAGACCAGAACCCATAAAGACCAGAACAGTAGACTTTTTTAGAAAGCTATAAAGAAACCTGCTTTGTGTCTTTGCACATTCAGGCTTTTAATGATCTGTCTTAAGCCGAGCTGAGACCTTCCAGTCCGCTCTAATGTCCACTCAACCACAGCGTCGTACCCACTCACTACTCTCTGCAGACGTTCGCATGCAATCATGGATTTAGTTACTGCGCTGGCTGTGCACATCAGCAGGGAGAATATTCAGTCAGATACCAACAGAGCAGGTCAGGAGATGGAAACAGATTTAAACAGATTCTGATGTACTGATGATTTCTCTTTCAAAGACAACAAAACCTGAACTGATTTTCTGAAACTTCATTCTTTCTTTCCGGTTCTGTTATAAATATAAATCATCCCCAGCCCTCATGCGCTTTGATTAAAAACTCTTTCGATCACGATTCGGCTGCTTTGCAAAACCAGCCAATAAAGTGTCATGTAATATCGTATTTCAGCATTCCGAACTGAATTTTCTATTGAATAATGCTCCACAAAAAAGTCTGTGAACGAGTGAATCCATGAAGACTGAACAGCAAGCAGTCGGGGTTTCACTGTGTCGAGCTTCAGCTGGGTTAAAAATAGAAGGACAAGGATTAGGAGCAAATGTTTCTCCATTAACACTAAGTGACTTTAATAGATGGACAAGGAAAGTGTGTCAAGTCCTTACAGTTACAGTAGCTGTTTCCATTAACCATAAAATTGCACACATTTAAATTACGAAAATAAGTTTGCTTAATTGAAACACGGCAAGTTTTTCGGTTAAAACGTTTTGAGCGCTATGATGAGATGGTTTTCAGACCACATCAAAATACATCTATTTCACAAAAGTGCATGTAAATTGATCAACCGTACAAATGTTACTACTGGGAGAAATGGTGAAGAAGGTGACAGACAGGAAGTAGTATGAGGATGATGGTTTGTTTTGGGGTTTTTTTTGGACAGTCTGCAGGTGGATCCACCAGAACTCTCACAGCATCATAATACAACAAATCAGAGAATTATCATGTCCAGCTCTGTGTCTTTCAAGTTTGAATGACATGCGACATAAAATGTTGTGTGTCATTCAAATGTGAATGACACACAGCATATGCATCATTTCCCAAAATGATGCATATGTAGCCGCATGTGGGGCTTGTCGTGTCAAAGCCTGAATAAGACCTGATCTCCTCTGATTGGCTGATAGATGATGAGTTCTAGCATCATCACTGAATTATGAATGTATCTAATGTACCTGTTTCCATTGGTCACTTCCATGATTTTTAATGACTTATCTGAATTTCACTTCCCTATGAATGGAAACACTGCAATTGTGAAATTATGTTTTTTCTTTTTTCAACATTAGCAGAATACAGACAAAATTTCTGTGCACATTTACTGTATAATGGAAATGCAGCTACTCTGTGATGCGTCCTCTGTGTGTCGGTACACATGGCCGGTAAAAGCAGCAGACGAATGAATGAACGAACACTGGCTTGTCGTTCCAATCCGTCCTTCTTACACAGACCTGGGTTTGCAGGAAACGAGGAGATTTCAGTTCCAACATCTCCTCTTTGGTGACGGTGGGAGCACAGCAGCAAAACACCTGCTGGAAGCCTTCTCTGAACCTGCCGGGAGAGGAGGAGGAGGAGTACACAGTGGGAAAGGATTAATAAAGCGGAAAGGATTGTGCACACAAACCCAGATTACAGCCCAACTCATGGCTAAACGCCCACGCTGACAGACAACTCGCCTTTTTTTTTTTTTTTTTTCATGCTAAGCAGCTCACCTGTTGTTTAAGCAGTAGTAGATGACCGGGTTGTACATGGTGGAGCTCATGGCCAGCCACATGACGGCCAGGTAGACCTGCTGGATGTAGCGCTCCTCAAACAGTTTGGGGAAGAACTGGTTCAGCTGGAAGTAGACGTGGTACGGCAGCCAGCACACGGCGAAGGTGCACACCACCACGATCATCATCTTCACCACCTGCCAGAGGAGGTATGGTGGTGATGTCTGCTTAATCTCTCCGGCTGTTTACATGTTAGGGATTAAAAAAATCATCAGGTTAAACGACAGGCTCAGGAGTTGTTGTCTGGCTTACCTTGCGTTTGGCGATGAGTTGCTCTGCGTAGTGTTCAGATGAGTCTCCTGGAATCTCGCTCGCCCACAGGGTGATGGCCACCGTAATGTACGCCCATCCCATGATGCACAGGGGCAGGAAGTAGATCAGTACGGCCACGCACAAGTAGTACCTGCGGCAACATAAACGCGAGCAGGTAATTTATTATGGAGCAGTTGAGTAGAGTTTTTATTCAGTCTTTGTTTCAACTGAAATGTGAGGTGGCGCTTTAATACCAGAAACACGATGGGTCAAGACGTTGTGAACCCACACCAGTACCAGTACAGTGAGTAAGCAAGACACCCTTGTTCAGATCCTGTTCCACCTTTGGAAACATGCCAGTGGAACCTGGAAGCAGATCTGCTAAAACAAACTGCCAATTCCTGACAGACTCACAAAAAACAAAAAGAAGAAACCTCTCCAGTTGTAAACAAACAGGACGGTAACTACTCTTCTGTTTACAGGTCATGGAATCCAAATCCCTTAGCGGCGGATGTTTTGATGTGTGAAATGATAAGAAAGGGTGTGTTACATCCAACAGGAAATCACATAAGATGTGCATCAGCCTGCTGCCACTTCACACATGCCTGAAGAACCCAGAGTTAGTTCACCATCTCAGCACCATTTCCTCACCTTGACTCTTCATGGAAAATACATGAAAAGAATGACATGATATGGCATGACCAGTTCTGACATGTAAACAAAAAATAACTGAAATGTGCAAATTGACTCCAACTTCAGGAGTTTGACCCCAAAATAGAAGGATAACACACATACTGAAGCTCCAAGTGTCAAATGAGACAGAAACCTCATGATGTCACTGGAATAAAACTATTAAAGGTAGAGTCACATTTATATGTGGGAAGGCAGAGGATTAGACAAAAAAGATGTTATAATTTACACAATTTCTTTTTATATGCCGTTGTTTCCTGGTACATAGGAGGACCAGCTGAGATGCACCAGCTGAGATTTGAGGTGGATGATATTGACAAGCTGTCCACTGAGGCCTGAGCTGACCACAATGCAACAAGACAACTGAAAGACTGCAATAATCCACATGACTGTGATAAACGATCAGGCTCATTTATCACAAACACCCACTGGACCTGGGAGACGTCTTCATCATCTTCTGTTTACTTTGGATCCAAACCTGTTTTACATCAGTCTAACATTGTGACTTCTGTGCCCCAGGGTTTGCACAGAAAGGTTGTTTAGTAATGATGCAAAAGCCCTTATAATGCAGAAGTACAGTGAGTGATGGCAGCGGCCAGAGACGTCAACCTGACGGTTTAGGATGAAGCAGAGGTTTAGAATTAATAAAGAAGTTCAGTTCAGTGCAGGAGAATCGTCTCAACATGACCAAATGGTGTTCGCCCTCTACTTTCCCTACACACTTTAATCATCTCAAAATATGTTTGATGTGAAACATTAGAGTGTAGACTTCACCAAAGAAACTCCCAAATATTCATTTTTTTTTTTAACTACTCAGAGGTGGACTTCTTTCTGATTATTGCCCTTCTGCATTATTTAAGTGAAACTAGCCTGAAGCCAAAATCTGTGTTTCCATCAATTACAGCAGATCATACTGCAGCAGCAGGTCAGCCATTACCCCCACCATGATTGAGTCTTGGATTCATTTTTCTAAAATGCTGAGAAGAATTAACAGCAATGCTTCCAGAAAGTTCCATTTTTGTCTCCACTGTCCACAGAATATTTCTCCAGAAATCTTGGAGATCATTAATACGTTGTTCTGGCCATTGAGAAATGGGCCTCCATGTTGTTAACGCTCAGCAGTAGTTCTGGTCCTGGAACTTTCACCTAGTGTCCATTTTGTCCTTCTTTGTTGTTGTTTATTCACAAACTCGAACCATGACTGAGACAAGGTGGATGTGAATTGCTTCACATTTTTACTGTTTTTTTTAAAGTTACTTATTAGTTTATAATCTACAAACCATTGTTAATGATGGAGGTTGAGTGAGAGGGAGTCATTTATTTCTATTGAACCTGTTTGTTTGTTTTCTTTTCTTCATGTGAGAAAAAAAAGTACAAAAAGGAGGAAAACGGCCTTTTCTGCGGCAGAATAAAATCGCTAAATTAGTATTACAGACACCAGACGTATTTCCTTTACAAGTGACAGCAGAACATTTTGCTAATGTAAAAAACTGGGACGTTTCAATTAAATAACAAACGCAAATACAATCATGCACATACAAGTTTGTTCAAAATAATGCTGCACTATCATCCTCCTACCGCTGATCATGTGACGCGTGTGATGCAAAAATGCGTTTCTGTTGTAGTTTTGCAAACATACACAATTTTTTTTTTGTTTTTTGAAACATGCCATTTTATTTTCAAAACTCCAATTTGCCCAATTTTCAGGTCAATAGAAACCTAGCTTCTGTCATCAATAAATAAATTAAACAATTCTGTGAAAAATATATAAATTGGTCCAAAATTCGACAGTCACTACCTGTTATCACACCTGACTACAGTTAGTAAGTTGAACTTTTCTTTTTAGGTTGAGTTTCTCCTGAATAAATGAAAGCAACATTTGTCTGATGACTTGGAACTTGAGTGTGACTTAAAATAATAATAATATTTTAAAAATAACAGAAGACATGTATGAGGGAGCCAAAATCTTTTCCACAGCCCTGTAGCAGTTGTCCGTGTTGGAGAAAGGCCGCCCTTACTCATAAATATTTACAGCCTGCAGGATTCTCAAAGGCCAGCGGTGCTGTGACATGACAGAAACCTGCCGGCTGGAAGTCGGTGATAATTTTGGAAGATGAGGAGAAAAAGGAAAAATTGATACCTGGAGCACTTCTGGCTATGAATAAAAAATGGTGAGGAACGTCAGAAAGGGTTGGAGTAATCCTCTCCTCCACTGAAGTAAAAATTGAAATATGTAAAGTCAACATCGATTTGTTTCAGTAAGTGAAAACCAAAACACATGTTAATTTGACTGAGCAGACTGATATTTTCAAGACTTTATTATTGTTGATTATGATGATTTTTCCACTTACAGTGAATAAAAACATGACATTTAGGAATAAAATATTACATCAGACCTGCTTAAAGGTCACCATTCTCAAAAAGGGGCTTTTAATCCACATCAGAACACATATTTTAGTTTATTGACTATGACTATAGTTTACATGCTACATTAAAAGCATATAAGTAAAATTTTCAGGCGGTGACAGTTTGCTTTCACATTGTGCTGTGTCAAATTAACCAAACTGACAGGGATTTTCTAGACAAACATAGTGGAATTGGATTAAAGTGGACTAAATGTTTGATGGGAATGCATCCTGAGTCACCGTTTTGTATCATAGTAGATTGGCACATCTGCAGAGTAAAATTTTCAGTCCCACCATCACGAAATGATTTTCACTAACCCTTGGCTAATGAACCACATTTAGATGCCTGTTGGTGACGGATTTTACTTTGAAACCAAATAAAACCCAATGTTTGATTTGACCATCATAAATTCAAAATCTAGGTTTTGTTACACTTTCAACAACAACGGAAATGGCTAATAATCCCAAGAATATTTCATTAATTGTCCACAAATAATTTAACAATCAGTTTTCTAGTCCAGAACTGTCTCCTCTAAACACTGCATTTTGAAAAAAATGGCACATGGAAATAACCTGATCATGACGTGATTTCAACTTATTTCTCACAAGTTGTGAGGCAACACTGTGGTCAGGAGGAAAAATCAGCTCAGCTACACAAATCTCAGCTACTCACATCTTTTCGAAGTCAACAGTGTCGTATTCAGGCCAGTCTATGAAGCAGATCGTGCGTCCAGGCAGCTCTTCGGTGGTCGAGTAGAAATACTGAGGAAAGGCCAGCAGCAGAGCCAGCAGCCAGATCACAGCGATCACCAGCCGAGTCTGAGTGGACGACAACCTCTGCTTCAGAGGGTGGATGATGGCCATGTATCTGCAAACACACACACACACACACACACACACACACACACACACACACACACACACACACACACACACACACACACACACACACACACACGCATACACACACACACAAAAGATTTATGGAGCAACTTCACTGAAATATAAATTGGAATTTCTTATCATTATTTCCAGCGGTTGCTCAGAGCATGATTGTCCTCCTGGGTGGCCTCTGATTTCTATTAATCTCACAGAATGAAAATTATCCAACTCAGACAATGATTTGAGACTCATTTTGAGTTAAATCGACAATTATTGCCTCTAATTTAACAGCACTTGACATTCTCAGAGAACCAGGTTACACGGACCTGTGTGAACTTGAAGGATACTGGAAGACTTCATCCACCAGAAACTGAAACTTTCAAAGTCAAACTGCATTGACCTTTCAAGTATCGCCAAACAACAACAATAACTGGGTTTGGGGTCATCACTTTCAGCAAAGTGGGATAATTGCTAATGCTCCTGACTCAACAGACACAGAAACTTTGTGTAACACTTAACCAACAAGCTGTTTTGAAGGAAATGAAAGTATAAAATGAATTAGGCTAAAAATGTAGAAGGGGTAATAATCCTGGTTGCAGATGTTTGAACAAGCTTGAAACTGGCTTGGTTATTCTAAATATTGTGTTAGTCCATTTTTAACATATCGGTATCTGTAAGAGGAAACCGGGCAAAGATCAACAACTAGTACTTATTTCCGTTTTGCATGTTTTTATGGTTAGGAAGATTCTATTATCATATCAATAAATATTAGTTATCAGCAATACTAATATTGGGAATTGATATTGACTGGAAATATTCACATCGGTGCATCCCTGCCTCCATTCCTCCAGTCTCCTTTCTTTGTCATCTAGCAGATCGATGTGGCACCAGAAATGTGACCTCTGCTGCTTTATCATGTCGTGATTCAGACACAAACGCCTCACAGAGCGTGACACACCTGTCCAGAGAGATGGCTGTCATGGAGTAAATGCTGGCAAATATGGCGGCGATGGGGAAGAAGTTGTGGAACCGGCAGTAGACCAAACCAAAGTACCACTCGTTGTGAACGGCGTAGGCGAAGTTGATCACCGTGTTGAATGCCGACATGGTGGCCTCAGCGAAAGCGAGGTTCACCTGCAGAGGAACGACAACGTTCACTTTGTTGTAACTCGTAAACCTAACATGATTTTGCATATCCTTATTCTAAATATAAACCTGGATATGGAATGTACTTGAAAGAGAGTCATTTCCATTTCTATGTTGGAAATGGATGATTTCTAAGATTACACACGTAGTCAACTTTAACGGTCACAATCTCTCAAAATGCAGCCAATTGGATGAGGGTCAGACTCAGAGGCAAGAGACAAATCTGATTGGGAACCGGAAAACACCTTTTATCTTTGATAACATTTATTATAAACCCTTCCTTTATAAGAGGCGATCTCTGGATTTATGCTCTTTGAGGAAAAGTATTCAAACTCTGGGAGCCTTTCACACTTTGTCTCATTACTGACATAAACTTCCATGTGTCTCATTGGAAATGCGCGCTATAGATCAACACAATTTGGCACACAACGTCATAGTGGAGGAAAATCCACAACGGCTTTCAAGAGTTTTCACAAATAAAAAATCTAAAATGTGGGAACGGAATAACTTTTCTTTTCAAACAAAAATCCACCATTTGTCTTGAGATGTCACCAAATGAGTGAAGGCAGTTCACCTGAGAGTGATTTGATCTGAGCGTGAATGCAGGCGCTTTGCAAAGGCCTCAGAGGAACAAACAGCAGACAGGCCAAAGGTTCAGACTGAAGCAGACAAAGAATGAAGCTCAGCTGGAGTTTGAGACATCAGTTGATTTTGCAATTTTGCTCAATGAAAGATGTCTGCTCTTTGTTTTTTTGTCTTTTAAACACTGTAGAGTTAATTTATCTGGATGATATATTAGGTTTTGTATTTTTTTATTTATTTTGCGTAATCTATCAACCAAACATTTCATCAGATAAAGTTCCCTTCAAATTAATCAGATTATTCTCTAATTTAGACTGGAAGTCAATCTCAAGCTCAGATTAGCTTTTTATGGATGATTTCTTTAAATGCTCCTACAAGAGTCTCTGACAGGCGCAGATTTTTGCTGTAGAAATAGACAAATTCTTGTATCACAATAAAAAGCGTTTCCTCACTCCCGTATCAAAACTCCCTATTTTTACGCACAACTCACTAGAAAGTAGTTGGTGACGGTCCTCATGCGTCTGTGCGCCAGAATGATCCAGATGACCACCGCGTTGCCGACCACAGACACCACCACGATGCCGATGTAAGCCACGGCCCACAGGGTGATCTGCCACACGGGCTGGATGAACTGGTTGAAGCCGTCGCTGCAGTTCGCAGAGACGTTTCCGCCGCTGCATTCGGTGGCGTTGTGGAGCGCGTCCATCTTCTGGGCATAACCCCGATCCCAGACTTCTGAACAAAAAGGCTCGAGTCTTCTTACTGGAATCCTGGAGAGGAAAAGGAGCTTGGCGCGTCTGCGCTCATTTTACGCACTGCGCACACGGCGCTCCACTGATGGCGGGGGAAGCGCAAAACGCAGCGGCACACCATCCAACGACTTACGCACTTCTGGTCTGCCTCATCTCCACACACAGCAGCTGCTGTACCCCCACTCAGTAATCATGATTAGTGTTGGATCTTTATGTGCAGAATCACATTCCAGGCAAATTATTCATTTTGTGAGAAAACTTCATTTATATGAACAGCTATAATCTCTGCAGGATTAATCAGGATCAATTTGATGATGTTGCTTTTTAAGCAAAGGAAATAGCGCGCGGAAATAAACACAACGCACCTAAAAATGTGCGTACCTATAATGCAGTGGTCCCCAAACCCCGGGCCGCGGACTGATACCGGTCCGTGCACCAATTGGTACCGGCCGCGCAAGCAGTAATTAAATATTTCCGTTTTATGTATGATTTGAGTCTGGATGATCTTTTATTTTGAAAATCCTTTAACCGGATTCTCTCGGTTACGTCTTGCGTCGCCAACATTGAGCCACAAGCAGCAAAATGAGTCAGAAACAGATCAGACTCTTTGGAAAGTTTCTTTGCGAAGGGAAAAAGCCCAGAGAGACAGGAGGAAGCTGCTCTGCATGATCTGATGATCGGAAGTTAATGAGGGAATGAAGCTTCAAACTGTTTCACCACTAGAGAGCAGCAGCTCCATCAGCAACACTTCAGTGTCTTTATCTCTCATCACTTCCAGATGGGGGAAACAAGCTCTTGGCTCTATTAGTTGATATCTGAGTTCAAATTTTTACGAAAGTAAAATGTTCGTTTATGTGGCGCATCATCACTTGAAATAATTTAAAGCAGGAGTGCATAGATATATCAGCCAGCCGATAAATCAGCACAGTTTTCCTTAATTTTGAGGAATTGAAATCTGCCGATACTTGCAATTTAAACCGCACCAACTGTGAGGACCGACTGACAGGCCAACCATCAGGCAATATCTGGATAGTTGACAGTCCAACTTAGCAACTTTGTCAATATAACAAGCAACTTTTCAGACAAAAAAAAAAAAAGCATGGTCAAAACTAGAATGAGCTGGTAAAGAACTGTGAGCCCGTCATCAGCCAATCAGCACATCATCTGGGCGGAGCCGCAAAAACAGGCGCGTGGTGCAGCAAGTGAATGGGGAGGTTTAGACCCGCTGTCTGTCTGTCTGTCTGTCTGTCTGTCTGTCTGTCTGTCGCATCCCATCAGAGCCATTAGACTCCACAGCAAGAAAACAGGAATTGAATCTCATTCCTCACCTGATCCCCTCGCAGCTGCAGAGCGCAGCGGCGTGTTTGAACAAGAGGAGGAGACATTATGTGGAATAAAATAAAGAGGCACAATTCACCTGAGAGTGACTGAGAGTCTTCTTAATTTGTCTGTTTATCCGGCAGAGCACCTGCTGTCACAGAGATAAACTCAAATTAAAAAGAAGAAGACGTGTGACGTCAGTAATGGGGACGTGTTGACGCGGCGGGGGGTGAGATCTCTGTTCTTCAGAGAATATGAAAGAAAAACACACACCACTACATCAGATGGCTGAGCAGAATAAACGCCGAATAAGAAAAAGGCTCAGAGTTTATTTGTAAAAATTTACAATTTATGTTTCGATAAAGAGAAAAAGAAATGAAGTTGCTGTCAACATGGTCTATGGAAAAGTTTTCATTTTGTCTCAGGGAAAGTGTAGGAATTGAAGATAATATTCAAAGGTCAGTCATAATTAAATTTGCTTGAGTTAGTTTGTGAAGTAAGTTTTACCTGAACTGTTCTCTGATAATATAATATAAAGCAACACACACTCACACACAGTCTGTGAAATGGAAACGTTTGTTATGTTCTCAGACTTTATCGTTCTGATATTTTGTTCCATTTTTTTGATGTTGTGAGTTCACAGAGCATTTTATATTTTTTATTGTCCCTTTAAGCACTTAGCTCTATTCTAATCTATATATTTTGTGTCGGCTTCAGAGCTGACAAAAAATGGTTCTGTGAATAAATTATGTCAATATTTCTTAAAAGAAATTGGACTTCATAATATAGCACCTTGAAATTGGGCATCTGTCTCTTTAAGAAACTCCTGCTGTTTGTGAAACTCCAACTTCAGGAAGTCATCACAACGTGGCTCCTCTATTCACCATTTCACAAAGTGTTACCAGCACTGCACTGAGAAGAATGTCTTATAACGAGCTCAGCAGCTACACAGTTCCACCAGGTGTTTGCTAATTGCTGCTGGCTAGTCTGAAGGAGCTGAGTGGGAGAGTCGCAGGGGAGGCGGAAACTTGGAAACTGCAGCTTTGAGGAGGAGCTTGGTCCACTCTGGTGTTTTGCACAGCTGGATGGTTGCCCTGGAGACTAATGAAAATCTCAAACCTGGCAATGCGTCAGGCATGTTTTTGATGAGGGAATAACATTATAGCATGACGTGAAGCTCAAAAATCATTTGTTTTTCATAACAAAGCCTCTTAAAGATGATGTGTGAGAAGCTCAGAACGGACATTAAGGACGGACAGTTAAAGCTCCAGCCTGCAGCAGCTCTCCTCCTTCACCAACAGAAAGGTTATGTGTCCTTTGGGCTTGAAGCCAGTCCTTGATGCCGGAAGTCCAAGGTCAGCTGTCCTGGCTTTACAACTGACTTTTCACCCTGAAGGAGCAAAACAATGCAACTCAAACACTACAATGAAATACAGATAGAAAGGAAGAAAAAGGACAAATCAGATACAAACAGTACAAAGAGTGAAACCTAATTTTAATAAGTCACAACAGCAGCGCTGCTCCACCTCTTCATGTTAATCACAGATATCAGCACAGACACGTTTGTCCCACACAGTGCAGGCCGGTAGTAGATTTTCCTTGAGCAGAAATGCCGCATCAATATTTTAAATATTTGTGGTAGAATCTCTAACAGTGGAGGATAAATAAAAGTTTCAACAGATCCACTGCGTTCAGGTAGAATTCATTGGAGCAGCATCGTCTCATTGTGTCTTTCTTTGCAGCTCAGATCAGGGAGGAGAAAAACAAGTAGAATCTGTGGCTTTTGCCCTGAGGTGTCGCCGCCTCACGTCACAGAGGAAAAGCTGTGTGAGCGAAGCCAAACTGACACAGTCACGTTGGTTTATTCCACACAGGACTCTTCACACGGAGCGTCATGCCTTCCATGTCTGGCGTGTAGATCAGCAGACTCATCAAGCTCATCAGCCCAAATCAGTCTAATTTAGTTGTTGCTTAGTTGCTCCATAAGTCTTGTGGAAGGTGACTGTTTTCTGGATATTGTCTACTGTTTGCTGGAGAGCAATGAAAGCATTTGAATGGGATAGCATAACGATGATAATAATGATAATTATAATATTTTTTGAGTTTCATTTTTGCTTTGGTTGTGTTATTTTCTGTGGTGACTCTGTTCCTCCTCAGAATCACATTTTAAAAGCTTTTATTTCAGTATTTAGATGCATATGAAAACCTCTAGTGGATGTTCTTTGAAACTGAACAAACTGAAGGGATTTTTCCTGCTTTGTATGGACAATGTGTTTTTCAGTTTTCCACATATTTAAGACAAATATGTGGCATTTTTTAATTATTATTATTTCTGTGGACAAAGTTAGAAAGATAAGCGACATGGACGGCATAAAATCACAGTATGACTGACACAAAATTATGTTTTTACACGTTTGTTGAAATGACCATGTTGCCACAGGTGATCTGTGAAAAGCCTGAGCTGCACCGTTGCCACCCAACTAACTCATCCAACTTGTAATGTCCATTTGGACTGTTGGACATGAGGAAGTTTGTCACAGAAAACGTCTGTAACCTGCACACTCCACTGTGAAATCTCAACGTTGTGCATGAACTCTGAGTCCGCCTGTCTCACAGAGTAAAAACTAAACAGAAGAAAATACAACAATACAAGCAATAAACACAATGGAGGAACTACAAGTTGCAGATGAAATGAATGATTTAGAAAAGCAATTTATTTTTGGCCCTGTGATGGACTGACAATGGAGATAAGCACCCCTCCTCCCCCCCTGCAACCCTGCAAGGATAAGCAGGAAGAGGCGATGGATGGATGACGGAGGGTTTTGTTTTTGTCAGGGCTCTGACAGAACGCCTAAAGGCATCAGAATAAAGCGGCAAGATAAAACCTGTCTTTGTTTTGGGCGGAGAATGCGCTCCGTCTTCTTCTTCTTTGCAAGAGCGAAAACGCATCTCTGTGTGGCAACAGTCGTAATCATTTTGAGCATTATTGCCTTAGTGACTGTGATTGTCTTTAACAGGAAGATAATATATCCAGCAAATAAGAGAAAAGAAGACAAGACTGTCAGCAAACAAACCAAGACTTTGTCCACAGCTGCGTTCGCAAAACCTTTTCAATATTTTGCTAATGTCGAAAAAAAGCACTATTTCACAATTGCTGTGTTTTCATTTAATAAGAAATGCAATTAAAATCCCAGGTGACTGAGCTGGTTCACACTATGAGAATTAAAAAAATGAAACACGCCTCCGTCATCCTCCTCCCACTTCCTCTCCTCATCTTTGTAGTTTCTGCCTCTAGTGACATCCGGTTGTTGATCACATCACTAGTGTGAAGCGAAAATAAGCAAGAATAATTTTGCAACAGCAGAACAACCACCTCATCCTCACGCAAAAAGCTTTTAGCTGAAACTGTGTTTTGTTTTTTCATTTCTTAAATCACGTTTGTTGCTTTCTGTGTGCAAAATAAAAATCAGGGAGGACAGCGCCAGACAATTCTCCAGGACATACTGGTTGGTTCATGGTTAGCTCATCACACACTAAAAAAAGTGAAGAAAAAAGATTGTTCTGATATTTTAATTTAATAAAATGTATCATGAAACATTCAGGGATGAGGAGTTTGCACACATTTAAAGAGGAACTATTATTTTTACAAATGTCCACTTCATAAAACTTTGTGGATCTTCACATAAGAGCAAACAAATAAAAATCTTT